CTCACCCGTTAGGGATGTCGGGCACTATGCTGAATGCAGCTGCTGAATGTCCATTTGGGCATTCATGGATCGCTGGCAGTAGTCCATCTGAAGCTTAACTGAACTTTTTTTAACTTCTTTCAACCGGCCGGTCAGCGCGCGGTCAAATGGCTGCGTGCGGCTGGTGATTGTATGGCAAGCCATGTTGCCATATAATTGTATTGTCAGCCGCGCACGTCTACTGACGCGATCACAAGCCCGACACCGACCCGGCACACCCATCCAACACATTATTATGGCCTGGCCAAATTCGTATCGGGCCGGGCCAGGCTTTGGGTCCAGGTTAGAAATAACAGCTCTAATATATTTTACTGAACAGAGCCTGGTAAATTGATCTGTAAAATAAAACAATAATAAATTCTCTTCAGTCCTTCAACCTGCTTGTCATTAGTTATGTGCCTCTCAAGTTAGCAAGCTAACATTTAGATAACCTAGCATAGGCTATTGCCTAGTAAAACTTGATCCAGAACAATTAATCTAATGTAGAGGTATTGTTTGTCTGAAATCTTTACTTCTCTGCTAAGAAAAATAAACTCTGCTGCAGTCAGTGCTAATTAGACCTTCACCATACGTGACTGATTGTTTAAACAATGAATGGGGAAGGGCATTTATTTGTTTAATTTACATTTATGTAACACTTGATAACTTTATGGTGAATAGTGGAGGATGGAAAATGTGAACGCTGTTTTCATGACCAGTGCACCACTTGTAAACCTACTGTGGGACTACGCATTGGGTGGATCTGATTAGCTTAGCTTCATGGTTGCTAACAGCTGAGCTAAATAAACAAGCCCCACTCCACTCGCTGTTTTCTTGGATTCTTGGAGGTGGACAAAGATTAAAAAATTCCCAGCCATTACATCTGTTATAGGTGATCACCTGTCCCGCCCAACATCATTATCGGTGATAGCCAAAATTTTAATATCAGTCGGGCTCTAGTTTAAACTGAGGATGTTTTATTAATAAAGCATCCTCATAAAGACAGGAGTTTAAGATGAGAGTGAAACAGCCTGACAGCGCAGCATGCACTTAGGAGACACAAAGATCCTCGAGAAGAAAACCTTGCAACTCTTTTCTGTGTGAAGTAGTTCTTGCTAAAAGTCTCAGTTTGTATGTTTCCTTGTGGAACTAAATCTTGTTAACAGTCTCCAGAATGAGGCACACTCAGATTAAATTTATTGAGTACAAATAAAAACAGCCTGTGAAGTTCAAAGTTCACAGAAAATATTGCTGCCACTCATCAATGCATTTGTGCACAGCAGAAAGGACAGTTCAACCTGCATGCACGTTCTTTAAAACATAAATTACAACTATGTCTTTACTTTTTACACTTTTTGTAGAATTCTATTAAAGGATTTTAAACTTGTTATAAAGACAATAGAAACAAACAGCTTTGGAAACTTGGACCTGCTAATCGATCCGGCCTTATCTCGTACCTTTGTTCAACTACAGTATGCATTGTTATCTATTGTATTTGTTTGTAACTATATTTTTGTCTTGTCCGTTCCTTAAAACAGCTCTGACCATGTGTCCTCATTGGATATCTGTAGATAAACGTAAAGTCTAAATAAAATAAAGCTGCGATAGCGCCTGTTGTCGTTTGTAATGTTAGATTATCTACACATCTGAGGGTGTACTACAACCCCAGTTACGTAAAACAGGGTTTTGATTTTAAGCCTGACTTGCCCAAGCCTAAAACTCCACTAAGTTTCTCCACTAAACCCTGTGAAATTTTTTGTATCAGTGAGCCTGCCCCTCTGGAAGCTTCCTGTGAATTTTGTGAGAAATGTATCCACTTCTTTTAGACAAAGGCACAGCCTTTGTCACACTCTGACTCGTCATGAGCCATGCTGTCTCCATGTTTAGCTGTGTTCGAGCCCATCTCGCTGTCCTTGGAACAGCTGATTTCAAGTAAGGTTCCCCCTTCAATGTCATCCCTCTTTAACGTCATAATCAGAATCAGAACAAGCTTTATTATCATTGTACCGAAATACAGTGAGACTATTCGTACAGTCATCCGAAAGATGGGCGGAGTGCACGTTGCTTTTTTCATTCAAC